ACCCAAAGCAAAACTGGATTTGTTTAAAAAAAAAAAAAAAAAAAAAGAAAGTGACTTTGCAGCAGGGCCTTACTTTGCTAATCTGTAAAGTAAGGACAGTGAGAGATGCCCAGTCCATGGAGCTGCAGGGAGGTCAGGGCTGCTATGTGTGCAGGGCTTAGCTAGGTACCCCCAGAGGTGTTTCCGGTGGTCAATGTCATTATCCCAAGCACTTGGCAGTGAAAACATCCAGGCACTACAGAGAGGCGCTTTCCTCATTAATGAGGCCGAGAGGAGAGGTTGGACTCCCCCAGGGTCATAGGAACAGGGATCCTGACATCTAATTTGATGCTTCCTGGGGACACTTTAGTCCTCCCCCTCGTCCCTTCCAGTCCACTCTGGCCCCGTCCAGGCACCCACCAGTCATTCTCCTGCTCGAAATAACAGATGGAGATGACACGGGAGCCGCTGCCCACAGCGAACTTGTTCTCGTTGGGGGCCCAGCGCACACAGCGGGCGGCCCGGTTGATCCGCAGGATGACCAGCGTGGGCTTCCACGTGCGGCCCTTCAGTGTCCACACGTAGGCGTTGCGGTCTGTGCCACAGGTCACAATTCGGTTACTCTCAGGAGCCCAGTCGATGCCTGTGGGGGATGGAGGGGACACATGAGGCTGAAGGCACTCAGGCAGAGGTGGCTCTTACGGTGGCCATGTAGAAGAGGCTGAAAGGCCACAATCCAGATGGAAGCTGTATCTGCCCAGCAGGCACTTTTATTTTTTTTTTAAATGGAGTCTTGCTGTCACCCAGCCTAGAGTGCAGTGGCATGATCTTGGCTCACTGCAACCTCTGCCTCCCAGGTTCAAGTAATCCTTATGCCTCAGCCTCCTTTTTGAGACACAGTCTCACTCTGCCGCCCAGGCTGGAGTGCAGTGGTGCAATCTTGGCTCACTTCAACCTCCACCTCCTGGGTTCAAACAATACTTCTGCCTTAGCTTCCTAAGTATCTTGGACGAAAGGTGCGTGCCCCCACGCCAGGCTAATTTTTGCATTTTTCAGTAAAGATGGGGTTTTTCCAGGTTGGCCAGGCTGGTCTTGAACTCCTGGCCTCAAATGATCCACCCACCTCGGCCTCCCAAAGTGCTGAGATTACAGGCATGAGTCACCACACCCGGCCCCAAAAGCACTTTTTACTGAAATCTAGTGCTTATTTAGAGTGACACCAGGGGGCACTCCTAGAGGTTATGAGGCGGTGTTACAGCCCTCAAATCAGAAAGCATGCTGGAGGACAAAACCAGGAGGCAGAAAAGACTGGTTCTTAGTCACATGAAGCTGCTGGATCAAGCCTCTCCTGAAGCCGGCAACCCTCTGAGTTTCTTGGTAACATGAGCCAACATAGTCCCCTTAAAACTGAAGCCACTTTGAATCAGGATTTTCTAGTCAGTGGGTAAATATCCCTCAATGAGTGGCCACACCCTACCTTGCACCCCCCACCCTACCTCCTCCTTTTGGGAGGGTAGTCCCAGCCACCCTGACATACCTGTCACCTGCCCATTGTGCTCCTTGAGCTCATGCACCTTGGTCCATTTGGCGCCACTCTTCTCGTAGATGTGCACCTCATGGTTGTTGGGGCAGATGGCGATCTCTGCAGGGGAGATGGAGGGAAATTAAGGAGTACCCTCTCCACGACTGCCCTCTGCCAGCAGCAGTCCACCCGGGCAACAACGCCTCACCCTTCATGACTTGGGCTCTCCTCCTCTGCCTTGGAGGGTTGCCCTGAAGTCCCTCAGGCCTTGCCAGGCCACCCTCCCTATTCCTGGGACTGGCTGTCTCTTAGCTCCAGCAATGACCCCTAGGACCTCTCCCCACCCTATCGCTCTGGCCAGCTGCTGCTCCCGGGTCCAGCCAGGGTCCCCTCACTGCTCCTGCTGACACTTCAGGGACTCTGCAAATGCTAGCCCCTCCCCAGCTAGGGCACGGTTCGCTCCCTCCCTCTCCTCCTCTGGGTCTCTGTGCAAATGTCATCTCCTCAGAAAAGCTTTTCCTGACCACTTTTTCTTTTCTTTTTTTTTCTTTTTTTGAGACGGAGTTTTGCTCTGGTTGAACAGGCTGGAGTGCAATGGCGCGATCTCAACTCACTGCAACCTCCGCCTCCCTGGTTCAAGTGATTCTCCTGCCTCAGCCTCCCAAGTAGCTGGGATTACAGGCATGCGCCACCATGCCTGGCTAATTTTGTATTTTTAGTAGAGATGGAGTTTCTCTGTGTTGGTCAGGCTGATCTTGAACTCCTGACCTCAGGTCATCTGCCCA